GGGGGGGTGGGAACCCTGTCGGGATCCTACGTGGCGCCCAAAACGGTGAGTGGGACAGCACGCCCGAGCCAGCAGCCGCTGGCAAAGCTCCGGGCTGCGGCGTTAAGGGGGACAGAGAGCCCCTGCGCCCCCTCCGTGCTGCAGGGCCTCCCAGGGGGGAGGTGGGAGATGAACCCCTTTTTTCCCAGCATGGGTACAAGCTGAGCGAGGATGGTGGCCTGCGGGCGGAGGGGACACTATGGCGCTTGCCTGGGCACAGGGATGTGGGGCAGAGGCGGTCTTTGTGTGCCTCGGGTGGCACGGAGCCCTGAGCAGAGGGGAGGGCAGGGATCTACCAGGTCAGGGCTGTGGTTTGGGGGCTGTGCTGTTTCCTGGTGTTTGGGTAAGGTTTTGAAGGACTTGGTGGCAGCCTCCTGCAGCCCGTGCCCACCGTGTGTCGGTAGCCATGAAATGCCCCTGGCTTACAACCGCCCTGCGCGGCTCTGCTGGGCTGGAGAGCGCCGAAGGGTTCGCTTTGGGTAGAATCCCAAAGGTTTCTTGTCTCCTTAACCCAGGTCTGGCTCCCTGCCATGAAAGCCAAGGGGCTGGAGATCTCTGGCACCTTCAGCCGGCAGGTGGGCTCCATCTCCATGGACCTCGTGCTGACAAACAAAGCCCTGCAGGTCATGTCCGACTTCGCCATCCAGTTCAACCGCAACAGGTGAGGTCCCTCCTGGGCTGCCTTGGTGGAGGCGCTGCGTGACATCCTCCGCCCTCAGCCCTGCGGGGGGGGCAGGGAAGGGGCTGTGAAACGGCTGCAGGGCTTGGGAACAGCCTCACGTGATGACCCTTCTCTCTCTGATGGCTGTGGTGGTGATGATCATCAAACCAAAGCCTCTAAGAAGTTGACTGAAGAGGCCGTTCCTCTGGGCTCTGACCACCGTCCCGTTATTTGTCCTCCTGGTGAAGCGGTGCTTCTTTTTCCCCTCAGAGGGGCACAACAAGGGATGGCCTTGAGGGAATGGTGTGGGAACGTAGAA